AACCCATTCTCGCACTTGCCTACCACTTTCCTGCGTATTCCCCGATTCCTACCAGTTTTGACCGATGCCCATGATTTCCCGAAAATTCGCTACATCCTCCCTACTTCCGTTGAGCGGGAGGGAGGGGGATATAGAGCAAACGGAAACGGGAAAACGCAGAAAAGTGGCAGTAAACAGGGAAGACTTTACGCCTCTAGGTTCAAATCTAGTCTTGGAATTGCGCATACGATCCCCTCCCCCGGCGGTCATTTACGACCCCCATTTGTTTCGCGTACCCTGTCAACGCAGGTTCCGGCAACAGTGGGACCTTGGATCCGAGAGCGATATAGGTGAGCAGTGATGGTGGGACGGAATGATTATTGCGGGACGGATTAGTATAGAGCTGAGAGATGACAAGTTCACATGGGTAAAATCCTCTACACCGCTCACAGCAGCAATGCGATCGATATGACTCAAGTATAACTATCTCAATGACTCCACCACAACCCATTCCTCACCGCTCATCAGTAGCGGATTCATGTACGACCGCTAGGTTAGCTCTATTCCGAATGCATGGGGTTTGTTTACAGAGAATTTATGAGCAGCAGCAACTTGACTCAATCACTCTTGTCAGAACTATCTTCCATCAACAACCATTCGAAGCTTTCCACTGCTGAATGCGGGAGTGCATTCCAAAGCAAGACGCTTTAAGAGGGGGGGGGGATGCATGAATCAGTACGATGCTTCAGCGGCTGATCTAACAGGCTGCTCTATTCCCGTCTATGTAGGTTATGAACGTACCAGTCGGATCGCTGGCTAAGGCCGGCTCTCCTCCTTCTGTGATGCGGGGGCGCTGCTGCTGCTTCTGCGTCTTGACGGAACGAGCGCTGCTTTTCAGTTCTTGGCTGATGCAGAAGATTCCTTTGAACAGTGTGGTTGGTCAACGATCCGTAACTTAGCACGCAGCAAATCCGCGCCGGCGAAGCCGGGCCATGTCACAGAAGGAGGAGCGCCCGGCGACAGCTGGGCGATCCGACTGGTGTTCTTACATCCAGAATGACCACTAGGGTCTCTACTCTGTCAACAAGTCTGCTCCAGCGCAGAGTTGGGCTGGGATCGCAACGCGGCTGTGAGCGCTTGCAGATCGTCAGATGTCTATTCTTTTCGTTAATTAACTTAATTAACAATGAGAACCGGAAAATGGGTCGTATCGAGACCCTTCTTCGGCAGGCACTGACGCCGCCTCTTCGCACGTCATATGCTGTACTCTGGGGTCGATCAGAGGAGGAACTTTAGTTGGGGGGAGGGGGGAAGATGGGTCGCATTCTGCAAAGTTTTTTCTCCAACAGCAGAACATATGGTGCTCATCATTGCAGACCGGTGGGGCGGTGCGTGTGACTCGGCTGTGACGCGACTGTCATCGCTGCCGCGTCACAGCCGAGTCACACGCACCGCCCCACCGGTCTGCAATGATGAGGACTGTACCTTACTTTTCCCCACAACCTGCAGTCTGAATGTTCCCCCTGTTTG